AATAATAAAAATCAGGGCAGAAATAAACAATATAGAAACCAAAGAAACAGTTGAACAGATCAATGAAACCAAGAGTTGGTTTTTTGAAAAAAATAAAATTGACAAACCTCTAGCTAGGCTTCTCAAAAAGAAAAGAAGAGCACTCAAATAGACAAAATCATGAATGACAATGGACTTATTACAACCAACCCCTCAGAAATAGGAGCAATATCAGGGAATACTATGAAAAACTATATGCCAACAAACTGGACAACTTAGAAGTAATGAACAAATTCCTAAACACACAATCACTACCAAAATTCTCACAGGAAGGGATAGAAAATCTGAACAGACCCGTAACTAGTGAGGAAATTGAATCAGTGATTAAAAATCTCCCAACAAATAAGAGCCCTGGACCTGATGGCTTCCCTAGGGAATTCTACCAGATGTTTAAAACAGAATTAATATCCATTCTTCTCAAGCTATTCCAAAAAATAGAAATTGAAGGAAAACTTCCAGACTCATTTTATGAAGCCAGCATCACTTTGATTCCCAAGTCAGAGACCCAGCAAAAAAAGAGACCTACAGGCCAATATCCTTGATGAATTCGGATGCAAAAATCCTCAACAAGATACTTGCAAATCAAATTCAACAGCACATAAAAAGAATCATCCACCAAGATCAAGTGGGATTCATTCTTGGGTTACAGGCCTGGTTCAATATTTGCAAATCAATCAATGTGATACATCACATCAACAAAAGAAAAGATAAAAACCATATGATGCTGTCGATAGATGCAGAAAAAGCACTTGACAAGATACAGCATCCATTCTTAATAATGACCCTCGACAAAGTCGAGATAGAAGGAACTTACCTGAAACATCATAAAAGCCATCTATGAGAAGCCCTCAGCTAACATCATCCTCAACGGGGAAAAACTGAGAGCTTTCCCCCTGAGATCGGGAACACGACAGGGATGTCTGCTCAGCACTGTTGTTTAACATAGTGCTGGAAGTCCGAGCATCAGCCATCAGACAGCAAAAGGAAATCAAAGGCATCAGAATTGGCAAAGAAGAAGTCAAACTTTCACTTTTCGCAGACGACATGATACTCTACATAGAAAATCCAGCAGACTCCACCAGAAGCCTACTAGAACTGATCCAAGAATTCAGCCAAGTTGCAGGGTACAAAATCAACGTACAGAAATCGGTTGCATTTTTATACACCAATAATGAAGCAACAGAAAGAGAAATCAAGAAACTGATCCCATTCACAATTGCACAAAAAACCATAAAATACCTCGGAATAAACCTAACCAAGGATACAAGAGATCTGTATGATGAAAACTATAGAAAACTTATGAAGGAAATTGAAGAAGACACAAAGAAATGGAAAAACATTCCATGCTCATGGATAGGAAGAATAAATATAGTTAAGATGTCATTACTACCTAAAGCACTCTACACATTCAATGCAATTCCAATCAAAATTGCACCAGCATACTTCTCAAAACTAGAACAAACTATCCAAAAATTTGTATGGAACCACAAAAGACCCCGAATAGCCAAAGTAATACTGAAAAATAAAACCAAAACGGGAGGTATCACCATCCCAGACTTTAGCCTCTACTACAAAGCTGTCATCATCAAGACAGTATGGTATTGGCACAAAAACAGACACATAGACCAATGGAACAGAATTGAGAACTCAGAAGTGGACCCAAAAGTATACAGCCAACTGATCTTTGACAAAGCAGGAAAGAATATCCAATGGAAAAAAGACAGCCTTTTTAACAGATGGTGTTGGGAGAACTGGACAGCAACATGCAGAAGAATGAAACTAGATCATTTTCTCACACCATGCACAAAAATCAACTCAAAATGGATAAAGGACCTGAACGTGAGACAGGAAACTATCAACACCCTAGAGGAGAAAGCAGGAAACAACCTCCTTGACCTCCACCGCAGCAACTTCTTACTTGACACATCCCCAAAAGCAAGGGAATCAAGAGCAAAAATAAACTGTTGGGACCTCATCAAGATTAAAAGCTTCTGCACAGCCAAGGAAACAACCCAGAAAATTAATAGGCAACCAACGGAATGGGAAAAGATAGTTGCAAATGACATATCAGATAAAGGGTTAATATCCAGAATCTATAAGGAACTCACCAAACTACATGCCCGAAAAACAAACAACCCAGTGAAGAAATGGGCAGAAGATATGAACAGACACTTCTCCAAAGAGGACATCCAGATGGCCAACAGACACATGAAACGATGCTCAGCATCCCTCCTCATCAGGGAAATACAAATTAGAACCACACTGAGATACCACCTCATGCCAGTCAGAGTGGCTAAAATGAGCAAATCAGAGGACTCTAGATGCTGTTGAGGATGTGGAGAAATGGGCACCCACCCACACTGTTGGTGGGAATGTAAACTGGTGCAGCCCCTCTGGAAAACGGTGTGGAGGTTCCTCAAAAAATTAACAATGAACTCCCCTATGACCCAGCAATAGCACTTTTAGGAATTTACCCAAGGGATACAGGAGTGATGATGCATAGGAGCACATGAACCCCAATGTTTTAGCAGCACTCTCAACAATGGCCAAAACATGGAAAGAGCCTAAGTGTCCATCAACAGATGAATGGATCAAGAAGATGTGGTTATCTATACCATGGAATACTACATGGCAATGAGAAAGAATGAAATCTGGCTACGTGTAGCAACATGGATGGACGTTGAGGGTGTTATGCTGAGCGAAATAAGTCTGGCAGAGAAGGACAAATACCATATGTTTGCACGTATAGGAGGATTAGGAGGAACTTAACTGAGGACCATGGGGGAGAAGAAGGGGGGAAATGGGGGGGAGAGGGTGGCAAACCATGGGAGACTCTTGAATGTTGAGAACAAATTGAGGACTGATGGGTGTGGGGAAGAACGGAAGGGGGGTGATGGGCATGGAGGGGGGCACTTGTGGGGATGAGCACTGGGTGTTATATGGAAACCAACCTGACAAACTATTAAAATTTTTTTAATAAATAAATAAACAAAAAATTTTTAAGAAAAGAGAGATAAGTCAACTAGACATTACACTGAGACACAGAAGAATATCTGTGGCATGTGTTCACCTACAGGAAGGTAAAAATCAGGCAAAAAACAATATTTGGTTGGAAAATACATACACTTTAGAAAAAGTCAAATGAATTGTAACCAGGAGTCTCAGGACAGAGGTTACACAGGGGGATGGGAGTGGGGATGGTTCATGGAGCATCATTCCTGCTGGTTCTTGTCCCAGTGCAGGTGCCCAGAGGTTGACTGTATCAGAACTCCTTCAACTGGCATTTTTCAAACTGGAGTTTGTTAGCCACTCTAGGTTAATTTTTTTTTAATGTTTTATTTATTTCTGAGAGAGTGAGACAGTGTGAACAGGGTAGGGTCAGAGAGAGAGAGAGAGAGAGATTCTGAAAGAGCATCCAGGCTCTGAGCTAGCTGTCAGCATAGAGTCCTATGCGGGGCTCAAACCTACGAACCATGAGATCATAACCTGAGCCAAAGTCAGACACTTTACCGACTGAGGCACCCAGGCGACCCCAGATTAATTTTTTAAGGAAATTAAAATGAAATACCAAAGTTTATACCAAAGATACTTTGTAAAAACTATTCTCATTGGGACAAAACCACAGCCAATTATTCTGAACCATGTTAGAGAGAAGATACAGAAAGTGATACACATAGGTCATTTGACCTTTTGCTCACTGGCATCTCTGTTGATTTCTTCCATACAATGTTGCATATGGTGTGCAGGCAATTGTATCTTGTGAAGGATTTGATGGGTCACATTAACCTCACATTCAACTGGATTCAATACATTAACAGAATGAAGAAATACATTGTTGTTCAATTTAAATTAAGCTGGAAATCATACAAAGTAATAACCACTGATGAAATAGTAAATAGGAATAGAAATGACAACAAAAGGAACAGCCTAAAAAATTTTTAGTACACAGTAACAGTGATTTTTAGAATTTGTTGATGCCTAAGTCTCATTGAAAACCATAGTGTGATATGTTAAATTATAGATGTTCAATTTATATAAACTTCTCATGATTACTTTCTAAAGAGAAATTTGAACAATTCAAGAAAAATAATGGGTGAAAGAAGCATTTGACTTACAAAGTCCAAAAACAGTATTTCATATTAACTTTGGTTTTAACGTGTACCTAAACCCTTTGACATCCTCCCTTCCAGAGGTGGATTTAAATGTCTCTCTCTTGACTCTTGAATGCTGACAAAAACTGAGGACTGATGGATGTGGGGGGGTGGGGGGGATGGGCATGGAGGAGGGCACTTTGGGGATGAGCACTGAGTGTTATGTGGAAACTAATTTGACAATAAACTATTTGTAAAAAAAAAATAAAATAAAATAAAATAAGGAAAAAAAATAAATAAATGTCTCTCTCTTGAGTGTGGGCCACCCTGAATGATTCACTTATTTTTTTTTTTTTTTTTTTACTTTTGAAAGAGAGAGAGAGACAGAGCATGAGCGGGGAAGGAACAGAAAGAGAGAGACACAGAATCTGAGGCAGGATCCAGGCACTGACCTGTCAGCACAGATCCTGATGCAGGGCTCAAACTCATGAACCACGAGATCATGACCTGAGCCGAAGTCTGATGCTTAATGGACTGAGCCACACAATGCCCCTGAAGGATTCACTACTAACTGACAGAAAAGGATGATGTAATGGTGTGTGACCCTGGGTCCAGGACATAAAACACATGGCAGCTTCCAGTTGGGTTTCTCTCTTTCCCTCTGTCTTTCTTTCTCTGATTACTTGCTCTGGGAGAAGAAGCTACTTAGTCATTAGCCACCTTATGGAAAAGTCCCCAAGGAGTCCAGGCCTCTCAGGACCATCAGGGAAGAAAAGGAGGCTTCTTCCAACAGCCACTTGAGGGACCCTTATTTCCTGTGAACTCCCAGTCCCCCTCAGGCCATCAGATAGTGCAGTCCTGGCTGACAACATGACTGCGACCTTGAGAGAGGCCCTGAGCCAGCAGCATCCAGGTGACCCTCTCCTGGATTCCTGACCCTGGGGAACTGTGGAAGACACTGAACACGTGTTGTTCTGAGCTGCTGAGTCTCGGGTAACTTGTGATGCAGCTGCACATAACTGCTACAGGGTCCAAAGAGCAGGATGAACTTTCCCACTTTACTTTCCATTGGCTCTACATTAACTATGAGATGCTCAACATCCTCAATTGGTTTTAAGAAGAATATCTATATCTAAGGGGACAGAATGCATATTATTAAAATTTAGGCAATCTATTTATTTTAACTTTGGTCTCTACTCTGACCCATTAGACAAAATGGAAGAAGCAGTCTGTCCCGGGCAGATTGCAAGATGGCTGCCCTAACCAACCTCACGCTGTTCATATTCTCCCAGTTGTTGGATCAAACACTAATCCAGGTGCTAGTGTGAAGGGACTTTGCATGTGCAGTAAGGATCATATCTGCTGAATTAAAACAGGAGGGTTGTCGTGAGTAATCCTGACCTCATCAGGTGAGCCCTTAATAGGATGGGGTTCTTCCTGAGTGAAGGTCTGGCAGAGGGAGCAAGACTCAGGGTGAGGGAGGCCTTTTTTAAGTTTTTATTTAATTTTAAAAAGTTTTTTTTTTTTTTTTAACTTTTGAGAGAAAGAGTACAGAGCATGAGCAGGGAGGGGAAGAGACAGAGGGAGACACAGAATCCAAAGCAGGTTCCAGGCTCCGAGCCGTCTGCACAGAGCCCGATGCAGAGCTTGAATTCATGAACCTGAGCAAAATCACATGACCTGAGCTGAAGTTGGATGCTTAACTGACTGAGCCACCCAGGAACCCCAAGACAGGTCTTGACAGCAGAATAGGCCACCAGCCCCAAACAGTGCTGGTGGCCACAGGAACTGAGAGCAACATCCCACTGACATTGTGCAAGGAAGTGGGGACTGCAGTCTTCCAGCTCCAGGAAATGGAATTCTGCCAACAGCTCTGTGCAAGCTTGGAGGCGACTTTGTGTTGAGGTGCAAACACTGCCTGTGACACCCAGGAAAGAACCCTCAGTGTCATACCAGACTGCTGACCCCCAGAACTAGGACAGATGGACGGGTGCTGTGGTAGGTCACTATGGTTGTGGGAATTTGTGCTTCAGCAATAGAAAACCACTGCACAGCCTCAGTGTACATAGCGGTCTTGCCCCTGGAATGAATTTATTAGCCCTCAGGTACACTAGTGGCGTGAAATAAAATCTTTCCTTACTTTGGTTTATGTATTTTTCATTTTATGATTTTTATGACTATTATTCTAATAGTCATATTTCATTCATTCATTCAACAACAATTAATTTAGTGCCTATTATGCACCAGGAATGGCTTTCTATGCTGGGGAGACAGCTTTCATCAAAATAGCCCAAAGCCCCTGTGCTCATGAGCCTTACATTCTAGAGGCTTCCCAAGAATGAGACAGCACCATTGGAGCATTTTCAGTGAAGACATGACACGACCTGACTCACATTAGCAGAATCACTAACCCCTGTGGGGAGAAGACCCCCAGGTGGCAAGTCATGGGGTGGCACCAGTGCCCCAATCCAGGAGGGAGAGGGTGGTGGAGACTAAGGGGAGGAGAGGGCCTGAGGGATGGGAGACAGAGAGAAGGGCTGCAGATGCAGGGTGAGGAAAAGAAGCAGAGGGGAAGAATTCTAAGCAGTGGAATTCTCAGATTTAAATATGTTGTTACACAACTGGTACAGCCCCTCTGGAAAACAGTGTGGAGGTTCCTCAGGAAACTAACAATAGAACTCCCCTATGACCCAGCAATAGCACTGCTAGGAATTTACCCAAGGGATACAGGAGTGCTGAGGCATGGGAGCACATGTACCCCAATGTTCATAGCAGCACTCTCCACAATAGCTAAAACATGGAAAGAGCCTAAGTGTCCATCAACGGACGAATGGATCAAGAATTGTGGTTTATCTATACCATGGAATACTACATGGCAATGAGAAAGAATGAAATCTGGCTACGTGTAGCAACATGGATGGACCTTGAGGGTGTTATGCTGAGCGAAATAAGTCAGGGAGAGAAGGACAAATATCATATGTTTGCACGTAGAGGAGGATTAGGAGGAACTTGACGGAGGAACAAGGGGGGAAATGGTGGGGGAAAGGGAGAGAGGCAAACCATGAGAGACTCTTGAATGCTGACAAAAACTGAGGACTGATGGATGTGGGGGGGAGGGGGGATGGGCATGGAGGAGGGTACTTTGGGGATGAGCACTGAGTGTTATGTGGAAACTAATTTGACAATAAACTATTTGTAAATAAATAAATAAATAAATAAATATGTTGTTACACAGATTTTTAATGAATCTCCATCTACAGGGCGCAGCAAGACATTCTTTGCATCTAGTGTTTACTATACCCTGGGGCTGCCTGAAAAGCCATTGCATCCTTATGATAATCAGGGTAAAGAAAACAGTACCAAGTGCCCCAGTAATATGCACATAACTTAGGTATTAATTCAAACACAGGAAATGCATGGACGCTGTTGAAGGGCATTTGGCTGCACCGAACACTTATAACTTGGAGGTGATTAAAGCTTGTGCACTCTTCCAGCAGAAATATACAGTAACAATGGTGCATCTATGGACTAAGGATATGTCCAGGACTCACACAGATGATCTCAGGGGTATCGAATGAAGATAATGTTAAAACCAGAGAGTCACTGATACATTGTTTGGAAAATCTAAGTGCTTTGTGAGTCTGACTGCTGTGCTGTATGGTCACTTTTCTCTCGGAAGGGATCAAAATCACTTTTACAGATTAGATTCCTGATGCTCAGGGGTTACCAACATTGTGCTACCACTAGAGTTAATCAACAAGAAGGAAAGTGGAATCAGGTACAGCTTCTCCAGGTGTAAAAAGAAAACCCCTGTCACTCCATTTCTGTCCCCTGGGTGAGCTCACTCTCTTATATCAGATTCCATGAAGGTGAATTTTCTTCTAGAACAATCCAGAGGAAGAGAGGTAAGGGGTAAGAGAGTCCTATTCAGAGAATATTCCAGAAAGGACTGTGGAGGAAAAGGGGGCTGAGCCCAGCCTGTGGGTCTCTCCCTGGTTTCCTCAGACAGCCCCTGGGCCAGGACTCAGGAAGACAGGATGACAAAGTCACCTGACCACCGTGCCCGAGGAGAGGGGTCAGGGCAAAGTCTCAGAACCCCCGGGAGGCCTGGCTCTCCGGGTTCTCTTCCGAGGGCGGTGTCTGGCACAGGGAAGCCCAGTGTTGGGGAGGCCTCTTCTCCTGGTTTTACTTGCTCTCACAGCCTGGGTCACGCCCTCCTGCCCGGTTCCTCAGCACGCGAGCCCAGTTCACACTCCCACTGCGTGTCCGGTTTCAGAGAACCAGTTAGCGTCACCGCTCTTGCCGGATACGAAGTTCTCAGGAACAGTCTCCACTCAGCTTCTCCCAAGCCCCCGAGGGTCTGCGGCATGGACCCCACAACCCTTTCTCCTGTTCGCGGGGGAGGGAAGAGGGGCTAACCCTTACCGAGACTGGGCGGGTGAGTACGGGGTCGGGAGGTGAGGGGACCGCCCGACAGGGACGCGAGACCCCCGGGGAAGGTGCCTGTCCGCCGCCCCCGGCACCAGACCCCCACTCCCCCCGGCCCCGCCCGGGCCTGTCCTTCCGCGTCAGTCCCCGACTCCGCCTGCTCTCCCCCACAGGGTCCCCCTCCCACTCCTTCCCGGCCGCCTCCACCTGGGACCCGCGCCCCCCGCGCCGGGAGGAGGGTCGGGCGGTGTCTCACCCCTCCGCGCCCGCAGGCTCCCACTCCCTGAGGTATTTCTACACCGCGGTGTCCCGGCCCGGCCTCGGGGAGCCCCGCTTCATCGCCGTGGGCTACGTGGACTACACGCAGTTCGCGCGGCTCGACACCGACGCTCCGAGTCCGAGGATGGAGCCGCGGGCGCCGTGGATGGAGCTGGAGGGGCCGGAGTATTGGGACCGGGAGACGCGGATCGCCGGGAGCAACGCACGGGCTTTCCGAGTGAGCCTGCAGAACACTTGCGGCTACTACAACCAGAGCGAGTCCGGTGAGCGACGCGGGCCCGGTTCCAGGTCACGACCCCCATCCCAACGTCCGCCCTGATTTCCGGGTCCGAACGTCACCCCAAGGTCCACCGACAAGCCACTAGATTCGGAAAGAGCCCACAGGGATTGCTCGGGTTTTGTTTCCGATTTAAACTGAACAGGCTCAGAGCGAGGACGGCCCAGGAACTTCTCTCGGGGGCGGGGTTACGTGGGAGTGGCTGGCCGCGGGGGCGGGGCCAGGGGCTTTCCGGATGGGAAGTGGAGCCGGACAGGCGGGTCCTCTGCACGTACAGTCAATGCTCAAAGAACGGCGCGGATTACATCGCCTTGAACGAGGACCTGCGCTCCTGGACCGCGGCGGACACGGCGGCGCAGATCACCCGCCGGAAGTGGGAGGTGGCCGGTGCGGCGGAGCACCCAGGAACTACCCGGACGGAGAGTGGATGGAGCGGCAACGCAGGTACCTGCAGAACGGAGATCAGATGCTGCAGCTCGCAGGGACGAAGGGATGAGGAATTTCCCCAGTCTTCCCTGAGCCTGGGGGCAGTGTCTCCCTCTTAGGAGAGATAAATGGGACTGATGCCAGAACGCACCCCCACCCCCATCCCCAGAGGTGGAGAGAGAAAGGAAACAACCCTGGTGTTCAGACTGGGTACCAAAGAGCAACCTGTCCAGAGTGCCCATGTTTCTCCCGGGACACTTAAGGAATACTGTCTCTCAGGGATGGAGGGGAAGCCATCTCTGAAATAACTGATCAGTCACTGTGGCAGCGGCTTTAGGAACCATGGGGACTTTCTTAGTTTTGTTCTCTGCCCCAGAACCAATGCGTTTGAGTTCTGACTTCAGCTCTTCTGTGTCCCTGGGCCTCCACTCAGGTCAGGACCAGACTTACCTTCTCTCCCTTCAGAGATCTGGCTCTTACCTTAGGCTTTCTTGTCCTGATTAAAGAACTTTCCAGACAAGAAGAGATCATTCCACATGTCTACGCCCAGTCCGATGTCTGGATTTTTTGCTTCTTGCTCCCACCCCAGTTGAACTGTCCATTCTCAGGATGGTTGGTCATATGAGTGCTGCTGCAGTGGCCCAAGACAGATGTCTTTTTTTTTTTTAATTTTCTGACCCTTCTTCTCAGACCCTCCAAAGTCACATGTAACCCACCACCCCATCTCTGACAGTGATGTCACCCTGAGGTGCTGGGCCCTGGGCTTCTACCCTGGCAGTGTGATGTGGAGGACCTGACCCAGGACTCAGAGCTTCTGGATACAGGTCTGCAGGGGACGGCACCTTCCAGAAGTGGGCAGCTGTGGTGGTGCCCCCTGGACAGGAGCAGAGATACATGTGCTTGTGTGGCACGAGGGGCTGCAGGAGTCCATCACCCTGAGAGAGGTGAGAGGGGAAACCTGGGTACAGAACCTTTTCTCAGGGAAATCTCTCTTCTGAAGAACTTCAGCAAGTTGGGGGCTTATGCCTGGGGTACAGGGCCCTCACCTTCCCTTCCCTTCCCAGAGCCTCCTCCTCAGTCCACCATCCCCATCATGGACATCATTGCTGGTCTGGTTCCCCTGTGGTCACTGTACTGGCTGGAGCTGTAATCTGGAGTAAGAAGCAGGTAGGGAGGGAGAGGTTGTGCTCTGAGTTTTCTTACCCCACTTAATGTGAAGTACCACCCACCCACGTGTGCTAGTCCAGTGTGGAATTGATTGCTAACAATTGCTTTTTAGTAAAACACATGTGAAAATGAAGGATAAATTTTTCACCTTGATGAATCTGGTGATGGGGACCCGATTTGCAGAAGTCACAGGACAGAGACGAAAGCCCCTGCTGAGGACAGACTATAGGAGGGTGGTTTGTCCAATCCTCACACAGGTACTTTCTTCGTGTTTCCTGATCCTGCCCTCAATCTGCAGTCACAGTTCTGGAAGTTTCCCTGGAGTTCAGAACTAGGTCTAGGACTCATAGCCCTGCCTCCTCCATGGGCTCAAACATGATGTTTTCTTGCCACAGGTGGAAAAGGAGGGGGCTACACTCAGTCTGCAAGTAAGTATGGAGGGAATGATCCCTGAGACCCTGGGATAGTGTAGACAGGACCCCATGGGGAGCTCACCCACTCCATAGCTTCTGTTTTAGTCTCGTCTCCTGGGGGCTCTGACCACATCCTTTTTGTATTAACCCAGGCAGTAATGGTATGGAGGGCTCTGATGTGTCTCTCACAGCTCCTAAAGTAAGACTCTGGAGGACCTCACTTGGGGAGGGGTTGGGCAGACGGAACACAACTGGGTTATGGGGATTCTTGGAGCAGGACATTTTGAGCATGCAGTGGGTGGGGTGAGACTGTCATCACTTACAGTGAGTCATCTAAATTTGTTCATGATTGTTTTCTTTCACAGTTTGAGCCAGCCTTGTAGGGGACTGAGTGACACAAGATTTGTTTACTTTCCCACCTGTGACATCAGTGTCCCTGACTTCTTTTTCTGCAAAGGGCATCTGAATGTCTGTGTTCCTATTAGCATAATGAGACGAAGCAGGGAGACAGGTCCATCCTACCCACCACGACCCTTCCCCACACTGCCCTGTGTTCTCTTCCCCAACTTGCCTTTCTGTGCCAGCAGAGATGAGACTGGTCCATCTCCCTCCTGTGTATATATACTATGGCTTCTTTATCCATTTATCTGTTGAAGGATACTTGGCCTGCTTCCATACCCTTGCTATTGTAAATAATGCCTGCAATAAATATAGTTTTCAAATTAGTGTTTTCATTTTCTTTGGGTAAATGCCCAGTAATAGAATTACTAGATTAGATGATAATTTTATTTTTAACTTTTTGAGGAATTTCCATACTGTTTTCCATAGTGGCTGCACCAGTGCACCACACAACACCACCAACACCACACAAGAGTTCTTTTTTCTCCACATCCTTGCAAACACTTGTTATTTCTTGTGTTTTTTTTTTTTTTTATTTTAGCCATTCTGACAGGTGTGAAGTGAAGGGTGCCTCATTGTGGTTTTCATCTGTATTTCCCTAATGATGAGTGATGTTGAGCATCTTTTTCTGTGTCTCTTGGACATCTGTATTCATTGGGAAAATATCCATTCATGTCTTCTGCCAAGAGATGGCTGTTTTACTTTAGATGCTCGCGGTGGACCTCCCTGAAAAGGTGAGCTTTGAGAAAAGATTTGATGGACCCATGAATTATCCATGAGATTGCCTGGGGCAAGGTCCTTCCAGGCAGTGGAAAGTCCAGTGTGAATGCAGAAGGGCAGGTGTGTCTGCGTGTTCTGAGAGGAAAAAGAAGACCGGTACGGCTGGAGCAGAGAGTAACTGAGATGAGATACAGGTATGACCAGACTCTATAATCTTGGAAGATATCAAAAGGGTTTTGACATTTGCTCTAAGTGTGAGGGAAATTACAACACAGTTTGAGCAAAAGAGAGACATGGTGGGGCACCTGGGTGGCTCAGTCAGTTGAGTACCCAACTCTTGATTTCGGCTCAAGTCGTCATCCCAGGGCCATGGGATTGAGCCCCACATTGGGCCCTGTGCTGAGTGTGGTGCCTGCTTGAGATTCTGTCTCTCTCTCTCTCTCTCTCTCCCCCCTGTGCCCCTCTCCCCTGCTCATGCATGCTCTCTCTTTCTAAAGTAAAAAAATAATCAAAAAAATTAAAAAGAGGGACATGGGACAGCTTCTGCTTTGAAAGGATCACTTTGTCTGCTGTGTTGAGAACAGAACGGGAGGCAAGGGGCAGGTGAGGCACTGGGGACAGCAGTAGAAAGCCAGTTCTGTGTTCCAGTCTGGGAATGTCTGCTCCTTTCACTGAGGTGTGAGCAGTGGAAAGAGTGTGAAGTGATGGGATTCTGGATACAATCTGTAAATCGACTTTGCAGCACAATCTAATGGATTAGATCTTGGGTATGAGTAAGAGGAGCCAGGGAGGACCCCCAAATTCTGGAGTATACAAGTGGAAAGATGGAGTTGCTGTCAGCAGAGATGGGGAAGATTCTGGGAGGAGCATATTTGGGAAAGGGCATCACAGACATTCAGTGAAGAGATGATGAGCTGAGATGTCTATTAGAAACGTGAGGGAATCAGCTTGGCAATCAGACGAGCGTGGATGAGTATGGAATTTAGGAGAAATGTCTGGGCCAGAGAAATAGATTTTGGAAGTGACACCAAGTAAATGATGTTTAGAACCTTTGGCATAAATGAGGTCACCAAGGGGGTGATGGCCATAGAAGAGAAAGGAAAAAGGGCCAAACCTTGGACCCCCAGTTCCAAGAGATCTGATCAGACCACACACTCAGAGCTGTCTGCACAGTCTTGGCTCCACCTGTCAAGGCACATAGACCAGGGAGTCCCAAAATTCCCTGTTCACAGGACTCCCCCAGACACCGTGTTAAGGCTCACAAAGCATGGAGTATGAGATTCTGTGTTTATGACAAGGTGCTGCTGGTGGTCTTCACGTCACCCTTTCAGTAGCAAGAATATAGATTAAGATTCCCACATGGCCCTCACTTGTAGGGCTTGCTAAATAAGTGATTCCTTGATCTTGTGCCGAATACTCTGAGCCTGGGTCTGGGGAGAGACCTGTGCATTTTGTGAGAAGCCCCTCAAGCAGTGCTGGTGCTCAGCGAGATCTGGAGCCACTGAGGTCAGTGATCAGAGCAGGCAGTGTGGGGAGGGGCATTAAAATCACATTTAAATGCATTTTCTTTTCCCTTGTAAAGAGAGGGGTGCATGTACGTTGTCAGTATGAAATGTGATGTTGTGAGACACACGTCATTGTTGTATCCTGGGGTCCAGATGAATGGAAGGACCAGGGAGAGGTTCACAGTTCAGCATGATCTACACCTCGGAATGCTTGCTCTTTGCAACTACTCCCCTGACAAATTTTTGGAGCAAACGATGGAATTCTTTTCTCTAAATGTGAGATTATGTTGGGGAAGGCCACCAAGCAGACTTGGGGCTACAGTGTCAGGAATGGAATACACAGTCCTACCCAGGTTGAAGCCCACACAGGGACCCCTACTGCTCTGCACAGACATCGTCGGCCATACCACGGACTCCCCTGAGGCAGGACACTCAGTCCTGAGTCTAGGACTGACGTTGCTGCTGCTCCTGGCAACAGGATGTAGTAACTGCCGCACACGGCTCCTGGGCAAATGTTTCTGCACAGTGTTAGCCTTGCTGACACCACCTCCTGAGTCAGGGCCAGCTCATGGTCACCTGCCTGGTGGAGCCTCATGCTGTGTCTAACTGGAAGAATATTAGGAAAATAGGTTTTCCTTGTCTCTGGAGGGAGGTGGCTTCTACCTCCTAACAAGACTCTTGATGTGGAATTCTAATAATAAAATGGCAGTTTGGGTGCTGGGGGTGAGGAATGGAGAAAGAACAGCTAATCGCCATTCTTGGAGCACAGACCTGAAGCTGCAGCTTGATCTAGTGCTATGCAGGCACTCAGGTTCAGCACTCTCCTCTCATTCCTCTGATACTATTAGATCCAACTTTTGTCTACTCCAGTTTATGCTGACAAATATATGGAATGGTATTGGGGGGTGTTGAAATGATTATTCAAATTGTCATCACTCTTTGTCTTTAACAACAGAACACCCGGATCTGTAAGGGGGTCTCTGTGTGCACTGATGTGTCATGTTAATATTTGTATTTCCCTGTGCGTGGAAATATTCTGGGGAGAGAGTCTCTAACATTTCTCAGTTTTTATGTGGCTGTCCCAAAGGACTAAATAACAAACCAACCAACCAAAAAACCAAAACACCACCCTGGTTTTCTAGTGTGGCTGTAGTGTTCCTCAAAGTCTGAACTGTTAGTAATCAACTGAGAAAAAAAAATGGTTTGTTTCAAATTTTATTTAAATTCTAGTTAGTGAACATATAGTATAATATTGTGGATTTTAGTGATTCACCACTTATATATAACACCCAGTGCTCATCACAAGTACCCTCCTTAATACCCATCACCTATGTATCCCATCCCCCACCAACCTCCCCTCCAGCAGCCCTCGGTTTGTTCTCTGCATCATTAAGAGTCTTTTGGAGCACCTGGGTGACTCAGTTGGGTAAGCAACTGACTCTTGGTTTCAGCTCAGGTCATGTTCTCAAGGTTTCATGATCAAGCACCTCGTCAGGCTCCGTGCTGCTAGTGGGGAGCCTGCTTGGGATTCTCTCTCTTTTCCGCTCTCTCTGCCCCTCCCTGACTCACACTGTCTCTGTCTCTCTCAAAATAAATGAATAAACTTAAAAAAAAATTTTTTTTTAAAGAGTCTCTTCTGGTTTGAGGAAGCAGCATTTTAGAATCACCACTCACCATTAGGGTTAGTCTATTAGGGTCTCACTCCTGTTGGACACCAGGCTTTCACCTCTTTCTCTGCTCAGCTCCTCAAAGCAGCCAAAAGCTCAGACAGATTTCTTGCTTGTCTCCTCAGTTTTGGCTAATGTTTTCAGAGCAAAAGTGAATCTGGAGCTCTGGGTCCCCTGACCTCACCCCTCCAGGCTGAAGTCCTCTCCTAGATGTGGGCTGGGTCTCTTCTCTGTGTCTACATGTTGAAAATTTCAATAAGATAAACTATGTTCCATCAGACTTCCTCAGTTGTTCCCAGTGGGATCATGAGTTCGAAATTCTCTCCCTAACCAGTAGTCAGAACGTAACCTACTGTCTAGGCTGAATCTCAGAGTAGTGTTGAAAGCTCCAGAGAAGGAGAGCATTTGATCCTAATCCAGGTGGGGCAACATCAGAGTGGGCATTAGCTCACAAGGTCAGGGTGGGGATCACAGATCTAAGAAGGGAGAGTTGGGGACAGAAGGGAAGGGACCCCTGAACTGGCTGGAGCAGGACTCCGGCAGAAGGGCAAAGAGTCTCCCTTGTATACTTGGTCCCATATTCAATTATGAGACCCAAAGGGACATTCTATTCCTCTGTGGTCACTGACTTTCCCTTCTTCTCTCTCACTGGCCCTTTCTCTGACCTTACTCAAGCCCCAGGGTCTTTCATTAAAAAGGACATGAATGGAATTGGGGTCATTCTAGGCAAGCTACCCACAGAAAATGTGTCTGAAATCTCACACACACCCCAGTTATCTGTCAGGACCAGATGTGGATGCTGGGGTCCCTCTCCTCACCCTCCCTTGGGTGAGGCCAACAGAGGACTCTTACTTCCCCAAGGGGTGACCATGGAGATGGTAGGTTCCCCCCCAGAACCTGAGGGCAGCAGTAGCTCATTTGTAACCTCCAGCAGTAGCTCATTTGTAACCTCCAAGTGTAGGAGTAGTGAGCCCACACACTTCAGTCAAGTAGCACCTCAGGATCTTTGCAAAAGACCTCTCCATTATCTTTCCCCCCTGCCCTTGGCCTCAGTAGCCAAACCGCCTGCCCTTGTCCATACTGTTAGTACTCCTTCAGAGACATGAAATCCTCACCATTCTAAGGGACTAAAAATGTCCCCTGGAGAAGCTCCCATTGGGGTCACCAACATCTGTAAGACTGAGACCAGAAACCAAGAATCAGTGACAAACCAGATTGAAAATGACACCTGAAACAAAATGCCACACACATTTCCCAGGCTGGGAGGGAGGGGTGGTCAGCACATTGCCCTGGCACAACATGGTGAAGGCCCTCTGGTCTACAGTTGGGAAAGCCCAGCTGGTTCTTATAAGAATCTCGACATCTCTCACAAGCCTTACTGGACAGTCCAAACTCTTCTGGCACTGCTAACACTACAGAAGTACTTCTGGATCCTTATCCTTCTGGTCTCAATAGTCAGTTCTCCTGTCCTCCAGCCATGTTGCCCGCAGCTCACGTTGTGATCAGCACAGTGGCTGTCCAAGCACAGCAACTGTTTGTGGTCCACAAAGGCAGTGTCAGGAAGCCAGGCTTGCTTATGCCAGGTGGACACACGTGGTGTGAAAATACACCAGGTAGTGAATGCAAAGGGTGGAAACGGTTACTTTGGGGTCCAACAGGGAGTGGGCTGGGGACCCCCCCCTTCTTTCTCTGCTGCTCCCTGGGCTCACTTCTACACCCCCACTTTGTCCAGAGAAGCACCCCTGGGAGACTGCTATTGCTTTGTGAAGCTGGGACAGATGAGAAGGACAGAGAGACAGGCCTGGAGAGGGACAGGATGGATAGAGGGGACCAGAGTTAGGGGGAGGGGCTGAGTTTCAGTCAGGGTCAGGAATCCCCAAATGAGTAGGAGGGAGATTAGGAACTGCTTGCACCAACTTCTCTAGACATCTCAGTATCTGTGGAGAACTAACTGAAATCCCCACCCACTTCTATAAACACAAATCTCCACTAACTTTGATGGACGTTTCCACAACCCCAAGATCTAATTCCAACAAAAGTGCATATGAGTCCTCAGTCCCCAGGCAGAACAATCAGAAGAAACTGAAGGAGGTCAGGGGAGGAAAGTAAAAGCCTGGAAGAAGTCCCAGGGAGAGGGCAACCCTGAGAGCTAGGTCCTACTTCACATCCACCTCCTTAAAGTGGAGATGCTCAAATGCAAACATGGCTCTGTAAGTGTCTTCCCTGAGCCTTCTCTTTACCCATTGAGCAGTCATTGCCCCATTCTACCTTGGACACCTGATCCTGGGACACTCTAGGTGACTGTCAAAGTCATCCAGCTGCTTCAGCCCCAGGCAATCCTTCTTGTTCTCCCTACTTCATAGAGTGAGCTCTTCTCCAAGGAAAGGCAATTTATTTTTGTTGATGGACAAGGCAAGTAGGGAAGAAAAAAAAGAGAGCTAGGGTCGAGGACAGAAAGGTGTAGAAAGGGGTAGGGAAGAGATGTCCAGGGCTCTGGGAGGAGGTAGAGATGGGTTACTCTCTCTGCCCCAGCACCCACTCAGATAGCCTTCCTTTGCTCCTCCTTCCTCATTATCAGTCTCTCCAGACTCCATGCTCACCAGCTCATAGTGAGCTTCAGCAGTAAAATGACTCCAGATTTACCTTAATCAGTAAAAGTTCTCCAGAAAGAAGCAGAAGGAGGGTTTGGAACTTCATGGTCTGGCCTCTGGATGGCTTGGACTTGGGGCCAAATACAAGGTCCCTACCCACTGGTGTGGATAATATAAACGTAGATTATTAACCAACCCTGACTGGCTTCTCTACAACCTCAAAACCCAGTGGAAACTAGACATAATGCTGTGTCATCTGTGGTTTGCTAAAGCAATCATAAATACCTGACACAGGTGTGTGAAAACTAAAGGTAATTCCCAGGATGACTTGCAGTTCCCAACATTTGGATCTCTGCTAAGCTGGGCTTCCCTACTGAGTCATTATGCTCAGTGTGCATTGAAGATTTTGAGATCCAAACCTAGAGATGTTCTGACTTTCATTATTTTATTTTCAGCAACAGGGCAGAATGTATCCCATTAGTCTGGACACACTTTCTTTTTTTTTTTATGTTGGATGATAATAAGATTACCTGTCTAATTTCCTGTCCCCTTTTCCTTTTCTCCCTTTCCCAGAATCTCTCTGCATGAATCCCCCAACCCCCAAACCTGATTCTATGGATAGTACAGAGTCAAAAGCAGAGCACTGAGGCCAGATTGCCTGGGTTCAAATTCAGGCTCCACCGTTTACTTTCTGTGTGGCCTTAGATAAGTGAGTTAAACTCTATACCTGTGGGCTCACCTTGAAAATTGGAAAAGATACCTCAGTGATTTATTAAAAGGGTGAAATGTCTGGGGCGCCTGGGTGGCTTAGTCGGTTAAGCATCCGACTTTCGCTTAGGTCATGATCTCGCCGTTCGTGGGTTCGAGCCCCGCGTCGGGCTCTGTGCTGACTGCCAGCTCAGAGCCTGGAGCCTGTTTCGGTCTATGACTCCCTCTCTCTCTCTGACCCTTCCCTGCTCACGCTGTCTCTCTCTCTCTCCTATAAATAAATAAAACATTAAAAAATTTTTTAAAAAAGGATGAAATGTCTTAACATGTGCAAAGCACTATATAATTGTTAGATAGTATCATTTTGGGTATTTTATTATTACAAACTTAAGCCTTTCTCTGAGGCCTGCCTCTTCCCCCAGGCTTTTTCACTGAAGGAAATTCACCATGGGAACTGACACTATCTGGTGCATTTAGACATCACTCATTCACAGTATGTAACTCTACATACTGCAGCATCATTAATCGTTTCCATCAGCTCTTTATCACTACCCTGGGCCGTGCTAGTTCACCTTGGCTTTCCTCAACCTGAAGCCAAAGAACTCTGTCTGCAATATAGTGCATAACAAAGTAAGGCATAGTCTTTACTCCCTTCTTATTTTTTTAAATATTTTTACTCCCTTCTTTAGTTAGAATCTTCATTCTGCGGTTTGCTTATAAGTTCCAGTCTACTCACTGACCTTAAGAGCATCTCTAAGCAGTACATGGCCTCATGAAATGATCCAGTGACATTCTTTTATTTCCACATTGAGCATATAGACTAGGTGCCCTTTGAGTCAAAAAAATCTTTTTCCACAAAATTAAAAGCCACTATGCACCAACCATAATGTTCTAAATGAAAAGATCTGTCAATGTCAAGTGTTGACAAGGATGTGAAACAGCTGAACACTGCTGCTGAAAAGAATAAACAGTCTCAACCAATTTGAAAATTGGTTTGTCCTTGTCTTCCAAAGATAAAGATTCACCTTCCCTATACTTGTGGATTGACTTTTAGGTATATAACAACAACAACAACAACAACAACAACAACAAAATATGTGTACCATTGATGTATTCAAAGCAGTTTTGGTTGTGATAGTCAAAAGACGGAAACAATCCCAAAATTTATTAACAGTACAGTGAATAAACTGACACATGTTCACATAATAGAATGCTACACAAGTAACAAAAATGGACAAAATACAGCTACCCACAACTACACGGATGAATCTCACAAATAATATTGTCGTGCACACAACACATAATGTTTTTTTTAATGCTTTTATTTCTTTCTGAGAGAGAGAGAGAGAGAGAGAGAGCACATGAACAGGGGAGGGTCAGAGACAGAGAGGGAGACACAGAATCTGAAGCAAGCTCCAGGCTCTGAGCTGTTAGCACAGAGCCTGATCTGGGGCTCGAGCCCACAAACCATGAGATCATGACCTGAGCTGAAGTCAGATGCTTAACCGACAGAGACACTCAGGCACCCCAACACACAATGTTTTAAACAGGAAAAAGTAATCTGTTCCTAAAATTCAGATCAACGGTTATTTGGGGGCAGGAAGAAGAACTTAGTGATTGAGGGGCATATGAGAAGGCTTTCTGTGGTGCTGGTAATGTGCTATCTCTTGACTTATATGTTGTAAAAGGTGTGCTAATTTTGTGAAAATTAATCAAACTGTTCACTGATGATCTGTGTGTTTTATACTTGAACTAGTAAAATATAAATGAATCTCTCATCACTTTTGGCACAAGCTCATTTTTCTTTTTTTGTTTTGTTTTATATACTTTTTTATTTTTTGTTTTTGTTTACAAACTCATTTTAATAAACAAATAAATAGGGAATTCAAGCCATTATC